ATCGTGGGATTAATTTTGACCCTTCTTAACCCCAACACCTAATATTCTCTAGAACTCTAGAACTTCCTTCTCAGGGTATGTACTGTGGACCATGCAACATAGGCATAAATAGGGAACTTATTAGAAGTGTCCAACTTCAGACCTACTGAATCATAATTCGTATTTTAATAAGACCACCTTCTTGTACACATTAAAGTTTGAGAAACGCTACTACAAAATCTTCCCTTGCATTCTCTCATTTCTTCTTCCTTTCTGTTCACATCAAATTATTTTTCACTGGGATATATGTTTTCTACATGAGCTGTTTGGGCTCACCCTAAAGTTTAGATCTTCATATTATTTCACCTGAGTCATTGCCCCATAAATTCCTATGTCATTCTTGTGTTTTCCCTGCTTTAATTCATCATACCTCTGCCTCAAGAGTAGCCTTTCTAATAAACCCAAACTTCTTCCCTCTTCTTAAATATCTTTTATAGCTTTCCATCCTTTACTAAACAAACTCTTTTGACAGACCCTCAAGACCCCAGAGAATATGATGCCATCCTTTTTCTTCAGCCCTATCTCCAACTGCTCCCCTCTCTAGAGACATACCATACACTTCAGCTTTACCATTTCCCTCCTCTTTGTTTTAGTTAAACCCATTCTTTCCATGTAGAACTCCCTTCCCAACAGCTCTGATGAAATCCTCACACTCCTCTGAGGCTCATCTTCAATGCCACTTCCCATAGTAACTCTTTTCTGATTCATTAATTCCTTCATTGAATATGTATATATTGATCATCTACATTCTTTGCCTACATTTGCCTACATTCTACTAGATACTGGGGATAAAGCAATTTTTAAAAAGCAGTGACAATCCTTGTCCTCACAGACCTTACATTATATTGAGGGAAAATAGGCAAAAAAAAAATCAAATAGGTAAGATATATGGTATGTTAGATGATAAGTGTTAAGGAGAAATAAAAGAAGATAAAGAGGTTAGAGACAGTTACGGACAAAGAGTGTTCTCCCACTAAATACCTATCCCTCATTTAAATACCCAGAGCACTTATTTTCCTTTACAATGAGATTTTTGTGTACTTGTCCTATTTCTCCTGTTATTTTCAGAGCTCCTTGAAAACAACTGCCTCTTACTCATCTTCATATCTTTTTGCAGCTAGCAAGATGGTGTGCAGTAAATGATGGTTAAAAGGAATGATTGATTGAAGTAAATGCAATAGAAGCCGAAGAGAAGGGAGATACTGACAAAGAGAGTGGTTAGGGAAGGCTCTTTGAGCCTTGGGCAAGGCCTTGAAAGAAGAATAGAGTAGGGAGAAATAAAAAACTGAGTACATTGTTTTGATGTATCTGTTCTTAAAAAGCTAAAGACCATGCTTTACAAATTAAGATTAATATGATATGTAATTTTTTTCTGCCTTTAAAACCAGTGTTTCAGAAGGGACGGGCGATAGACACTGGAGAAGTGGACATTGGTGCACAGGTCATGCAGACCATTCCACCTGGCTTATTCTGGCGTTTCCAGATTACTATCCACCATCCAATATATCTGAAATTCAATATTTCTTTAGCCAAGGACTCTTTGCTGGGAATTTATGGCAGAAGAAACATTCCACCTACACACACACAGGTATTTGATATTTTAGGTATTTTCTTGAACTTTTTTCAAGAGTGGTGGGTTGAACAATTCGGGGTTTGTGGCTTGTGAAGTGTTTGGGAGTCAAAGATGAGGTCAAAAAATCTTTGTCATGAACCAATATCCAGAATTGTCGCACTCAAGTTGATGGGGGAAAAATGGCATGGAGATATAAGGAATAACATTTAGCAGAGTCGGTTCAGAAAATAAAGTTTAAGACAATATCCTTTAAACTTGACTTCTGCCTTCTGAAACTGGGTGATGGTAAGTTCCCCAGCCCTCTCATCTTACTTAGCTTTAATGCCCACACCCCCTTCACTGGTTTTATATATCTATGTCCCCTTGTCCCAATGAAGGAATGCACATCAATCAGAAATCGATAATTAATGAGTCAAAAGGGCAGGTTTTGCCCTACTGATAAAAAGTTTTCTTTCAATTGTTAATAATAATTCAAATATGTAAAACCTCTATGATTCACATAATCCTTCCATAAACCTTAGCCATCTCATTTCTCTTGTTTTCTTTCCCTTATTTCTTCCATATGTAAACCCATTTCAAGCTCAGCTTCCTCTATGAAGTAGCAAAAGTAATCAAACATCTGGGCTTGCTTTTTCCCAACAGATATGAGTATAATCCTATTGGGCCAAAATAGGAAGGGAATTAGAATGCTATTCACATGTGACCCATAAAAGAATAAATGAGCTGGACATGGTGGCTTACATTTGTAGTCTCAGAACTTTGAGGGTGACAAGGCAAGAGGATTATTTGAACCCAAGAATTCAAGACTAACCTGGGCAAAATAGTGAAACCTCATCTCTTCAAAAAAAAAAAAAAAAAGCTGGGCATGGTGGCACATGCTTGTAGTCCCAGCTATAAGCTGGAGGCTGAGGCAGAAAGATTGCCTGAACCCAGGAGACCGAGGCTGCAGTGAGCCATGATCGTGCCACTGCACGCCAATTTGGATGACAGAGAGAGACTCCAACTCAAAACAAATAAGTGAAAAAATACATAAATACCTGTTCAAGGAAGCATGTGCCATGTGTTTGTCCACTGATTTAAAAAAAACAGGGGAGGAATAAATCATGATGAATGTTCTCAAATTTTCGAATGTTCATTTATTTGTTTTAAAAACTGTAAAACTTTTAAATTTATAGAGAAGGTCACAGTAGCATTTCTGAGTGGAATGCGTATTTTCAAGTATCTTCTATCAGATACTTCAGTAAAATGTCAAGATTCTCCTGCATAATACCAAACAAGATTTTCTCTATTTTTTTGGTTTACTTATTTTTAAACAATTATTTTGAATATTCCTAAACTGAAAGGTTTATAACATTTTTAACTATAGTGAGAATTTTTAATCAAAATTAATAGTATACTTTTGAATTTAAATATAACCTCCTCTTCTGCTGTGCCCAATTCCAAAGTAAAGAAGTATGAAACAAGGTAGTTGAAGTTATAGATGTTTATCAGTCTAGATGAGAACATAGAGGCTCATCTTGGTGTTCATGTTTGTTCCAGTTTGATTTTGTAAAACTAATGGATGGCAAACAGCTGGTCAAGCAGGACTCCAAGGTCTCTGATGATACTCAGCACTCTCCTCGGAACCTGATCTTAACTTCACTTCAGGAAACAGGTTTCATAGAGTATATGGACCAAGGCCCTTGGTACCTGGCATTTTACAATGATGGAAAAAAGATGGAGCAAGTATTCGTGTTAACTACAGCAATCGGTAAGCTGCTGTGCCTGTTGTGTTGAATTGACACAATCAGTGATGAAAGTGATACAGGTGTTTGTTTAAGTGCATTGCTCATTCTGCCTTAAAGTCATTATTCAAGATAGGTCACTAGAAGAACAATTTATATTGTTGCTGTCATTGATGTTGTTTAAGTGCTGATTAAGATTTTTTAAATGTTTCTTTATCTGCTGCTATTCTAGGACACTTGCTGTGCACCTTTTTGTGTGTTCTCAACAGGAATAATTACCTGAGTAATATTATTAGCAAGACTACATAGATGAACAACATCAGTGAAGAAGGGAATAAGCGAGTGACACCCTGTTAATTCAAGTTCTATTATTTTAAAAATTACAATGAACACCTTTTTCTAAAAGAAAAACTAAGCATCTGTACAGTTCTTTAGAATAACTGATTCTAGAACTATTAAGGCTTCAAATACAATATAAAATTATTTAGAAAAGAGTATTAAGGATAATAACTTGGGTCATTCAAAGCCCAATCTTTTAGAATTTTTTTAGTTGAAAAATCATCACAATGTCTCTTTCAGTGTGCTCAGTGCCTTTCAAAACACATTCTTTTTAATGCGATGTCTATACATACTCATTCACCTTCACCCTAGAGGTATCACACTCTTTTGTCGGTTTTTGGTAAATTCATTCCCCATGATCCTTTGTGTGAATAAAGCTGAGCTATTTAGCAATTTCAGAGTCTTGAGAATAAATAACTCATAGACACAGTATCTTTTTGTGTGAAGTTTCCTAAAACACATGTCTTTTAAAAGAAGGGAGAGTATTTTACAGCAGTCAGTTTTCTATACAACTCTCACCACGTTATCCTTTAGTTAACCTGTTCAGCCATATGTTTAGGAAGATGTGTTGACTGTTAATAGATATACCATCTGCTCTTTATAACAATTGTGTTCTATTTTTACTTGATGCTGAAGACCTTCAGTCAGTAGAAAATGGTATTTCAGCCATAAGACTATCAAAAACTTTTCTTTAATCAGAAAGGCAATAACATAGAACTGATGATGTTTTTCCCTAAAGGAAAAACTCCACTGAATTCACATCTTCAAAACACAAGTATTTGTCTGTTAAGTTATTTTTTTAAAATATTTTAAGTCATGCCACTGTTTTGCTACTGGTAGACTCAGTAGGGCAGTTTCAATGAATGAAAGATCTTTCATGATTGTTTTTACCAAGACCTAATTTTGATAACGTGAATGCCAATGGATTATGAGAGGTTCAGTTTCTCTTAAAAATTAGAGAAATTAGAAGATACAAAATATTTGTGAAGATTTTCTCTCTTCCTGTCATCCTTACCCTTAAGCTCAAATTAAAACACTAACTTACCTATTAAACTTTCAAAAACCAACAGACTCAGAATAATGCTTACAGATTTTTCCTGTCCTTTACTTCCTCCCCACAAGAACCTAAACTTTGAGATCCAATTCTTATCATCCAGCTGTCAGTTTTATATGCAACAACATATTTAATTTTTGCTTAAACAAGTCAGGTTTTTTCCTTTTGTCTTTTTAAGATTAGAAACAACAGAAACATTTCTCCCACGATTCCACTTCAAGAAAATTTACGTAAATTTCTCCCCAAAATCAAAAGACATGTAAGCCATTTACCCTAAATTCTCCCCATTTAAAAAAAAATTAAAGTTTACCTTAATCAGAGTAAAAAGAGATTAATGTATTTGACTAGACAAAGTAAGGCTTGTATGAATTTGTTCTAAATGCTGCTCACTTATCTATTTTACAATGTTAGAATCAGTTGATTGATCTTAACTATATTTGGTCTTCTACTAACAAGGATCAAGACAGAATTAATAACTAATGTTTATTGAATGACTAATATAGGCCACTCAATGGCCTATATTAATATGTATTATTTTCCAGTAGTATAGGCAGAGTTGTCAATATCCCCTAATCTCAGGCAACCTGCTTTGTAGCAGGATAATAGTTTTTTACCATTTATGGAGTGTCACTCTTCCCGAAGACTGTATTAGATACTTTACATTCAGTTGTGTTGATTCTCATCACAACATAGATAGCTCAGGTACAGCCATACTAATATTACACATAGGGAAATGGAGGCTTGGAAAGAGCAAATAATTTGACAAGGTTGCACAGGCAGGAAGTGACAAAATTGAGATTTGAGAACTGGTATGTCTGATTCTAAAGCCCATGCCCTTTAGACTATACTTATCCCATATGATTATTCATTATCTTTAGTTTCTCCCATGAGAAAAACTGCCAAAAGCAAATCCGATCATCAGTGCAGATGCAAATACCAAGAGGATTTTTACTCTAGCATAAGAACAGGGCTTTAAACATAAAACTTCAAAATGACTCTCAACACTAAGGAACTAGAGTCTAGGAAGTAATTCTGAAGTAAGATTTAAAAGATAGAAGGCAAAAATTACTGGAGGCCAACATAAATGGAAAAATGCATTCTTTTTCATCACTAGTTGTTTATGTGTTCCTGCTGTAACCATCTTCCTCTTAGAGTCCCTAGGCTGTCTCAATGTCTCTTTGATACCCAGTGGAAGTGGCAGCTTCCAAAACCTATATTGTCTTCTCTTCTCATTTGCATTGCTGGGGTTAAGCTCTGTGCAGCAGTGTGAGTCAAGAGACAGTTCTTAGATAAGTCAATAAGATGTTGAGATGTTTATTTATTTTGATAGAAAAATTTATTAAACATTTTTTTTCAGAATAGCTACATTCCCACAAGGCTGCTTCTATAAGATTGTCAATAGGATCTGTGTGAAATTAAATTCAACTATATTTACTCTTGAAAGCTTCCTCCATGACTTCCTATTAACCATCCAGGGTAGGGGAAATTCAAATGTAGATTTAAGAACTGCCACCACTGCTTGGTACAAGAAAGCTAGATAAGTAGAAAATATATAATTAATTATTCCATCTCTGAATGAAAAAAGTCTCTTTATGCCTTTTCATAATTACCTATTAAATAAATGAATGATTTCCTGAAAATAGCTAATATTTTGATAAGTTAAAAATAGTTGCCTGTTACAGCTATGCAAATAAAATGTTACATTCTAGCCAGCAACCCAGTTGTGGTTAAGTAGATGTCATGTGTCACTTGCTTATCCAGTTCTGTTTTCTAACACCGTGATTAAAGAACAGATCGGCATAGATCTGCAAATGGTATTCTGAGATGTGCACACACTGGTAAGAAGAATAATCTCTTACGATTGGTAATAATTCACACAGCCACTGAATTCATTTTCAACCTTCTAAGAATCTCCCAAATGAACTAGATACCACTTTTTTCTGCCGCTTTTGTTTTGCCCAAAGCAAAAATCCACATCTAGATTACAAATTTCTCTAGCTATGACAGTTTACTGTTTAAAGTACTGGTTATCAATGCTTTATGTGCTGAGCACCTACAGGGTCACCAGGGATGTTAGAATATGGATAACTGGGCTACATTCCTCAGAGACAGATTCAGTAAATTTAGAGCTGAAGCCCAAGTATCTGCATTTTAAGTGCCCCAGGTGATCCACTGAGTAATGCACAGGCCCCAATTGTAGAAATGCTATTTCTCCACCTTCATTATGAATTCTCACTTTCTTTGTTCAGTGGAAGATGCCAGGAACACCCCGCAAGTCTCTCCTTCTAATCAGAAATAGCTTGTCCACGTGAAACTTGGTGAAGCAGATAAATCGGATTGAAAAAGCAAAAATTGATACATAAAAAAAGTGTGAGTCTAATAGGCCAGCACATAAAATTCTGAGTCCAAGAGTGCTAATGGGAGAAATCTATATAAAAGTGTAAGGAGAGCCGGGCTCGGTGGCTCAGCCTGTAATCCCGTGCCTTTGGGAGGCTGAGGTGAGTGGATTGCCTGAGCCCACAGGTTCGAGACCCGCCTGGGCAGCGAGACCTCATCTCTACAATAAATCAAAAAATCAGCCGGGCGTAGTAGCACATGCCTGTAATTCCGGCTACTTGGAAGGCTGAGGGGGAAGGATCGCCGGAGCCCAGCAGGTCGAGGCTGCGGTGGCCGGGAGCGGCCACTGCACTCCAGTCTGGGCAACAGAGTGAGACTCCAACTCAAAAAAAAAAAAAAAAAAAGTGTAAGGAGGACATAAAACACACATACACACACATACACAAAACTGTAAGAGTAAAGCATTCATACCATTATGGCCTATAGATGTAGAAGTTGATCATCATTATATTCAAATACAATTTTAAATTACAATTTTTCATACTGTTGTCAGATACTGACATTATAGTTTTTTCTCAGAGACGTTACCATAAGCTTATCAAAGCCCTGTTGCACTGCACATATTTATGTCACCGGAACTACCTGTGGGCACCTTTAAAGCCTTCTCAATCTGAAACCTATTCTTCTCTAAGAATGGTTTGAAAGGAAATTAGTGGCAGAGAACTGATAAGCATTTACAGTCAAGAATGCATTTCTCAACAAAATACTTAGGTTCTAATGCTTTTAGTGGTAGTGAATTTAATATGAACACTTACTTTAAAAGCCTTCCATTGTCACTTATTAATGAAAATGAAATACTGAATATCATATTTAAGCTGTCAAGATAGCAGATTAAATACTCTAAGTTGGTAGAGAAGAAGCTTTGTTTGCTACAACCTAAATTTGAAAAATAAACAGTAGACTTGGTCTTCTATGTTGTATTTTTAAACCTGTGTTGCTTTTGAGAAATGTCCTATAATCCTGGTATATTTTTAGGTTTCTCATGAATGTCTCTTAAGAATACAATTCATCTAGGCTGTTTATGCGCTTCAGAGATAAGATTGGGTTTTAGTTCCACTCTTGATTAGCCAATTCAGCAAATCCAGGGCCCTTAATAATTTTGTGCTTCATGTGATATGTTACAGAAGTCTTTGGCGTCTGTTTTTGGGCAGTGAGTGCTTCATAAACTGCAAAAGGAGAGATTGTTATGGGTCCAGAGTTCCTATTACTTAAAAAATGAAATATTCTACAGCCTGGATGTTCATTTTTTCTCTCTGTATTAATAGAAATAATGGATGACTGTTCAACCAATTGCAATGGAAATGGAGAGTGTATCTCTGGCCACTGTCATTGTTTCCCTGGATTCCTTGGACCTGACTGTGCTAGAGGTAATGTTGTTATTCTCATTGGTTTAGGGAAATAGATGTCATTTGAGAACTCAGAATTAGTAGTACTAGTAATAGCAGCAGCAGTAACAGCAGCAGTGGCCCTACTGCCACCAGAAAAGCTGAGCACTTAATATGCTAGGAGCAGTTCTAAACACTTTGTGTTACATCTTTTAATGCTTTCTTCCTACAATAGCCTTACAAGGTAAGTATACCATTATTCCATTTTTATGGGCAAAGCAACAACCTCAAAGAGGTTAAGTGACTTAGCCAGGGTTACCTAATTTCTACCTAGGTTGTCTGACCCAACCACTACATGATGCTTATATTTACTTCATAAACTAATTCATAATGAACTGACTTCAAAAGTGGGCAAAGTTGGTAACTGCATATATGCACCAATGTACCTAGAATGGACGGGTAATCACCAAACGAGCAAGTAGACTAGAAAATAAAGACTGGAAAGTCAGGAAAGTTAACTTTAGCAAACGTTCCTGTTTCCTAGACTTGCCTATAGTTTAATTCTTGAAAAGCTTTAGGTAAATCACATCATGTTTTCCCATAGGTTACTATTATTTTAGAGATGCTTTCTGCTTATTTTCAATGTATTCTTAAGGTTCCCAGACTGCTAATACTTTTTAGTCTCAGGTTTCTCAGACACTCAGTTTCTTTAGATTTAGATTCCACCCAACAGAGAATTCTAAAGCACTTGCTAAGTTTCCAGATCACAAGTTAGACTACAAGTTAGATATTGAGGAAGTGAGGGTTGGGGGTGGAGGTGACGCTTGGTATTAAAAAATGAATAAGACAAAAGATACAGGCCCTGTTTTCAAAAAAGTTCATAGTTTTTTGTTTGTTTGTTTGTTTTGAGTTGGAGTCTCACTCTGTTGCCCAGACTGGAGTGCAGTGGCCGCTCCCGGCCACCGCAGCCTCAACTTGCTGGGCTCCAGCGATCCTTCCGCCTCAGCCTTCCAAGTAGCTGGAACTACAGGCGCGCGCTACCACGCCCGGTTAATTTTTTGATTTATTGTGGAGATGAGGTCTCGCCAAGTTGCCCAGGCGGGTCTAGAACCCACGGGCTCAGGCAATCCACTCACCTCAGCTTCCCAAAGCGCGGGATTACAGGCTGAGCCTCCGAGCCCAGCTAGTTCATAGTTTTAATAAGCAAGCAAACAATGACAAAGCAGAATAAATGTTCTAATAAAGGTCTGCACAGTGTGTTATAGGAGTAGACATCTGTCCAATACTAATCTATTTAATTATACAACTTTTTAAAGGTAATATTTTATAATATGAATAACTCTCTGTTTATAGCTTTTTAAAATTTCAGTTTTTCCCTCCTAAAAGTAATATACATCTGCTTGGGGAAGAAAAACTATAAGAGAGAAAAGCCCTAGTGTAAAATAATAATAATAATAATAAACAGTTTAAGAGTATGGTGGAATCAAAAGCGAATACTTGAAGCAATTTCCTCACTCAAGATATTTGTATAATTTATCTTTATTCCACTCCCATAAGAGTAAAATTCTATGTTTGTAATCATGAACATGTGCCTGTTTAATAACGGGTAAGACCAAAATAGTACAATTTTTTGCCTGAAATATTATGCAAAAATCAATAGAGAATTGCTCTTTGGAGATTTTGAAAGCATTATGAGAACATTACAAGTTCATTTGCCAACCTTCAGATTCATGCCCTGTGCTGTGTGGTGGAAATGGAGAATATGAGAAAGGACACTGTGTCTGTCGGCATGGCTGGAAGGGGCCAGAGTGTGACGTTCCAGAAGAACAATGCATTGACCCAACGTGCTTTGGTCACGGCACCTGCATCATGGGAGTCTGCATCTGTGTGCCAGGATACAAAGGAGAAATATGCGAGGAAGGTCAGAACCCCATTTTAGTCTATTGCTTCAGGCTGTTCTCTCACTTGGTTGTCCAAGGTGGCATTCTATGCTTTTAGTAGAGATGCAAGTAGTCTTTACAAACATTAAATGCTCAACATGTTCTTAGTGCATGGAACAGCAGGTTGGGGTCAGGGGAGCTCTTGTCTCTTCTGACAGCGTCTAATATTATACATGAGGCTGTATCTGTGACACTTTCAAAGAAATGATGAAAAATAGTATTTTCCTTTCTTGTTTCAAGCACTGTTTTATAACTTGAGAATTTCCATATCGATGATTTAAGTATTAATTCATATACTTTCATTATTACAGAGTGCATTATGTTACAAGTCACTTTAAAGCACATGATAAAAATAATAATATATGTACATTTGGAGCCACTTCTCAAATGTTTTATTTGGGGGTGATTTGCAATTACCATTATTAATATTGCTTTATATTATTTATTTTTACATACCTCAAGCTGAAACTTGACCTCCATGCGTAAGAAAGCAGGTTACCCCCCAAAAAAATTCCTGAAATGGCAATTTTATCATTTAAAGAGACACACTGAAAAATAAGTTTATCAGTAATCAGACCTTTTTCATGCCACAGTCCTCAAATAAGAGTGATTACAGAAATAATATTAAACCATTACCATGGGATATGGTATCATCACAACTGTTGTTGAGAGAAGAGGCTGCTGAAAATGCACAATAATTGCTTTTTAAAGATGGTTCATTAAGACTATTACACAGCATTCTAAGAGGTTTAATCTCATTCCACTCCATGAACAAGCAAGACTTTAGCTTTTCACCTCCCATCAGCAATAGTAGAATTTTGGTATAAAAATTATATTTGTTCCAATAAATAGCATTGGGCCTAGACAAGGCACTGGAATTCCTGAGTTCCATTTGGGAATTGTTTTTATGATCATCCAACTGCAATCATTATATTTAAGTTGTAAATTCAGATACTGTATAGAAACACACAGCAAATAAGCAAAGATGTATATTATATCTACAACTTGTGATGCAAAACATGTAACCTAATTAATTTAGACTCTTATAATTTAAATTTTGTAAGCAGTTGAAAAAAGACTCAGCTTAAATTTTTCTTCTTTAGGGTCGCTAGGAAAATTTATGGATTATCAGGATAGCAAGAAAGAACATTCAGCACATTTAACGGCATAAACTACTCAAATACAATAGAAAAATATTTTAAATTAGGCATCACAGACCAGGAGCCCAGAAGCTGAACTAGGCCTTTGGATGAGTTTCATTTGGCTAACATAGTGTTATTGCTGTTGTTGTTGTTTAATGTGACTTATCTGCCAGAACTTAAAAATAGACACGTGACATATAAAATTCCCTATTTCTGGTCTCTCTTGCACACTACAAAATCTGATGACCCTGGGCCCACGTTGCTACAAGTCAGCAATCAAATGGAGCTAAGTAGCAGCAATTCCCTTTAAAACAAAGAGCTGAGTATCACATGTTCTCACTTGTAGGTGGACCTTGAACAACTACCTTATTACTGTAGGAAAGGGACTGAAAGTAGCAGTAAACTATGGGGAGGTGGGTGGGGAGTGGGTAGCTGGGTTTGCCAGTAGTCGATATCCACCTGGGGAAGGGGGGGTACACCTCATCAATAAGGGTACCTGCACAATGAACATTTGTATACCTAACCCTGAATTGTACCCCACAATTTCAAAATAAAAATTAAAAGAGAAAAAGTAAATAAATAAAAGGACACTTGCTTTCAGTTCACTCCCAACACAGCCTTATTTTCTTATATGCAGGCCAGTTCATTCATGCATGCCACCCTGCCTGGCCCCTTTAACCATACGACCTTGTGCCTCTGATTTAAGTATGGTGTGCATGATTTAAAGATGATTTACATGACTATGTTGAATCAGGCCTCTTAATAAAATAAGGTATATTAAGTTAAATGTTATTTTGTTTGTTCAAATTGTACTTTAATATAACAAAATGACTTCTTTCTGAAAAAAAATTCTCTACTTTAGACTGTCCCTCTCTTTTCAAATGATAAATCAAATAAGAGGTATATCCTGATATTTATTTGTTAATTAGCTCAGGTATTAAAGTATTGTGCCAACAACTTGGGATCTTGGGCTAAGTGTAATTACACTAATAGTAGCTAGTTAGACTTAGTGTGTTCCATGGGCACAAGCCACACCCTAAAATTGGGCAGTCTTGCAAATGCAGGCAGGTTGTCTCTGTCTGTTTCTATTGCTGAAAAAGTAATTCAAAACATACATCCTCATTATTAGTTATTTTAGTCTCATATTTTTTCTGTGAGAACACTAGAAGTTTGGAAGTCAATCTGTTTCCCATGGAATGGTGACTAGTTAAAAGCACAAAGCACATTTTCCCCAAGGCAAGCATAGGCACCTACTTCTAAAATAATTTATTCAGTTGTTAGAATGTATACAAAAATTTCCAGACTCAGAATCAGAGACAAATGTAATTGGGTTTGTGCTACTCTAAGACATTAAAAACTATGTCACAGTGCCCTGACAGGAGAAACCATGAAGAAAATAATTTTTAAATTAACTTTAAAATGTTGAATGTTCAGTGCTTCTAAGGAATAAATGAGAGATTATGATAAATTGATGTAAATTTTATTATTTCATGCAACAGCAGTCTCCTTACTCAATACCTTAAATAATCCAAAGTTTTCAAATTTATATAAACTCCTCTAGATGCATCAAGTAAAAGTTCTTTCTGGAAGCTGTGATTCCAGTTTCAGAAAGGTTAACCAATGACTTATCAAAACCTCTTGATCTTTTTTGCAAAGCTGGGGATTTCCTATTGCAGTACCACAATGGTCTATCTATCTATTTGTGCAGGGGTACTGCACACTGTTCACAATTTCACACAGCATGTGTGATTTTCTTCTAAATTTGTTGCAACCTTTATGATACCTTACCATACATATTTTTAAGTGTCAGTAATCTTCTAGCTTGAACACAATGTTTACGAGTCATTTTGTTGCCTAATTAAAGCAACATTAATGAGATAATAACTAAGAAATCAATATATCTCATTTTCATTATCCTAAAGTGTGCTGGCCATGCTTGTTCACTATTAATCCCTCCCCCTATTTTGTGCCTTCAGAGGACTGCTTGGACCCAATGTGTTCCAGCCATGGCATCTGTGTAAAAGGAGAATGTCATTGTTCTACTGGCTGGGGAGGAGTAAACTGTGAAACTCCACTTCCTATATGTCAAGAGCAGTGCTCAGGACATGGGACTTTTCTTCTGGACACTGGAGTATGCAGCTGTGATCCCAAGTGGACAGGATCTGACTGCTCAACAGGTACATTGGAGTTATTTCCTTCATTTTCCTTCTTCACTCTTAAGTTCTAACTGCTCCTTCCCTTAAGGTAGTGCTTCTTAAAGTGTGAGCCATATTCCTTTATGGGTCATAAGGGGTTTGCAGGTATTTCCTAGGTTAGTATTTTTCTGCGTTTTTATTTACAACATGATTTTTACCTGTGTTTTTCATATTATTTTTCACTGTAGGTCTGTGCTTAAATTTCTGTTTTCATTCTGTGTTCTCCTATAGTTATTTCATCTACTTCCAAGCTTTCTACTATTAGTTCTATGCAGATTATTTCAAATCTATATCTCCCCCAAACTCAAATTATCTGGCATTTCCAACCATTTGCTGAATATTTCCACTAGGTGTCCCATCATCTAAAAGCACAACCTAGTCCAGGAACTATATTCCATTTCATAAATGACCATGCTGCCATCCAATAACTATTCCCTCTACTTTGCTTTTTTCCCATTCCCTACCCTAACATCTTCCATAAGTCCCCATTGTCTATAAGATAAACTTTAAATATCTTAGGCTATTTTTTTAACATTTGAATAAGCTTTATTGTGGTAAATACTTAATAATGTATATGTATATCAAAAATATCATATTGCACACTTTAATGCATTTGTTATTTGTCAATTATACCTCAGTAAAGCTGGGGGGGAAGACATAAAATATAAGTCCATATTTTGTCTTTTTACTGACTAGCCATAAAACTGATCTTCAGAGTACCATAAATGTGTTGGAACATTCTTAATTTCTATACTTAATTTATGACAAGCAGGTAAGAATTTTTGGTTCATGCTTTGAGCAATAGTAAGTTAGATCATGAATGACTACTTTTTATTTGTTATCCACAGAGTTAATTACAGTGTAATTGAACTTAAGTGTATTTCATCCAATTCTAAATAAGCATTAAGCCTATTATTTAAAAAAGAAAATAACCACTACTAACTATTACAAATCTCTAGCTCCAGTCTATCTTCTACTTCTGCTTCCTGCATAAATCTCTCCTTCTGCCTCCTTCTGTATGCTCTCAACCTCAACGCATCATAGCTTTACACTTTTCCCCATTCCTTTCCCACAGCATGGAATGCTATTGTTTTTCCATCTAGGGAAATCCAACCCATCCACCAGGATCCACTATAATGTTAGCCATTCCAGAAAACCTTTTCTGATCACAGGAATCTTCTGAAACTCTACCATATGCATTGTTAGAGAGCACAGAAAGCATTGTAATATAAGCATTTGTGTATGTGGCTTGTTTTTCCACCTGAATTATAAGCACTGAAAATAATAGGTCATTCTTTTTTTTTTTTTTTTTTTTTTTTTTGAGTTGGAGTCTCACTCTGTCGCCCAGACTGGAGTGCAGTGGCCGCTCCCGGCCACCGCAACCTCGACCTGCTGGGCTCTGGCGATCCTTCCGCCTCAGCCTTCCAAGTAGCCGGAATTACAGGCGCGTGCTACCACGCCCAGCTAATTTTTTGATTTATTGTAGAGATGAGGTCTCGCTGCCCAGGTGGGTCTCGAACCCGCGAGCTCAGGCAATCCACTCACCTCAGCCTCCCAAAGGCGCGGGATTACAGGCTGAGCCACCGAGCCCGGCTAATAGGTCATTCTTTATACCATTTTTCTTATCTTCAGACTATGTACTCATTAAATAAGTAGAACTGATAAATGGTAACTCATACAAATCCTCAGCCTGTGAAATTTTGTGGAAAATATAAAATGGTATGTGGTAAGCAGAAAGAATTGGTGCACTGTGGGATGTCTTGTACCACTGAATTAGCTAGTGAACTGAAAATTCTGTGATTCTACACTGTAAGAACACAGGAGAATCTCTCCGTTAAGAGAATTAATTCACAGCCGGGCTCGGTGGCTCAGCCTGTAATCCTGCGCCTTTGGGAGGCTGAGGTGAGTGGATTGCCTGAGCCCGCGGGTTCGAGACCCGCCTGGGCAGCGAGACCTCATCTCTACAATAAATCAAAAAATCAGCCGGGCGTGGTAGCGCATGCCTGTAATTCCAGCTACTCGGAAGACTGAGGCGGAAGGATCGCTGGAGCCCAGCAGGCGAGGCTGCGGTGGCTGGAAGCAGCCACTGCACTCCAGTCTGGGTGACCAAGTGAGACTCCAACTCAAAAAAAAAAAAAAGTGAATTAATTCTAACATAACAATTGTACTTCTAACATTACTTGACTGAAATTTTGTGACTTCACATAGAAGTAATATGGAAGAGAAGACTGCATTTACAATTTCATAAAATGATCAAAATGTTAATGACAGTCTCAAAAGAACTAAAATGAAAATCTTAAAAAGTACTAATTTATAGCTCTAACAAATATACATGTGCTTGCTATGTGCTAGGCATGGTGCTTGGTGCTCAAGATATAGTGATGAACAAGATGGATGTGATCTTTGCATGAATGGATCTTATAGTCTAGTAGGGGACACATATTGAAAAAATTAGAAAAGATTTGCAAAAGGAAAGTTATTGGATATTATGAGTGTATAGTAGGGACCCCACCTGATTATTAGCTTATTTACTATTATTGAACATTTCCATCCTTCTATGTATTAGACACAGTAATGTGGCATAGAACTTTAAGTTTAAAATAAAAATATTAATGTTATTATTATTATAACAAACACTTATGTAACAATTATTATGTATTATTCACTGTTCTAAGCATTGTACATATACGAATTCACTTAATCCTGATAACAACCCTATGAGATAAGTATGATAATTATGCCCACTAGTTACAGATAAAGCAACTGTGAGGCACAGAGAAGTGAAATAACTTGCCCAAAGTCACCCATGTAGCAAATGTCAGAGTTAGAATTTGGACTAACATGTTCTGACTTCACAGTCCATGCATTTCACCACTGTACTGCACTGTCCTCTAGGAGTTCATTGTCTAACTCACCATGTATACAATGGTATAATTGTTGGATCATGTCCAGGGTCATGTGCCACAGAACACAAAGGAGTGAGCAGTGAGTTATTTCTGTGAGAAGAGATCTTATAGTCAGGTAAGACTTTGTAGAAGTCTTAACATTTGAATTAACATGTAATTAATATGATTATATGTGTATCAGGTGACCAAGAGAGGAAAGAGCACTACAGGAAGAAGGAATAAGTTAAACAAAGAAATATAGCTATTAATCTGAATGACACACTTGGAGATTTGCAAGTCATTAACTGTAGCCTAAGAATGCAAAAGGAGATATGACTGGTGTGATGGGCAGGGACCAGACCATAGGGATTTGATTTTACACACCATGCTGAAGAATTGGCACTTTTGTAATGACACAATAGGAAAGCACTAAGTAGTTTAAAACAAACAGCATTTGAGATGGGCCACTCTGACAGCAACTGAGACCGATTGGAAGTGGAGGACACAGGTAACTAAGACATGTGCAGTTTGGTTATTGGAGCAGTCTAGGAGTATTATAGTGAGGAAGGCCTGAGCTGAAACTGTAGCTGTGAGAATAATGTGATGGAGACAGACCAGAGAGGAGTCACCATGATAGATGAGAGAGAGAGAGAAGCCAGGGATAGCTACTTTGGGTGACAGGGGAAAACCACCAGTTGAGGGAGAAAAAACATGGGTAGAAAAGCAGGTTTGGAGCTCAGTTGGGGATGTGCTGCATTGGAGGCATTTGTAGAATATCCACATGGATGTGTCCAGTGAGGAGTTGATAGTCAAGAATGGAACTTATAGAATAATCCTGAGCTGGAGACAAATATTTGATACACCAGTTTAGACCACTGGAATGCACATTATTGTCCAGAAAGAGTGTGAAAAATGAGAATGAAAAAAATCAGAACCCTAGAGAACACCAACAGTTAATATCTTTATCATGATAGAGCTCTTAACAGCAAGCAAAAAACTCACCTCTTTATATATGACTTAATAAACATGTATTGATTGAGTAATGATTCTATACCATATAATTACTCCCTCAGACCACTCACATCCATTATGTCTCCTTCCTGATGCCTCAGAATTGGGTAAAATTCCTGGTAATGTACCATTCACTAATTGCATAAATTCAAATATCTGTATTTCTGATGCATCAACATTAAATTCAATGTACTGAGAGTTTTTCTTTCCCTGCTCGCCACTACTTTCTAACTCACAAGGCCATGCACCAATCCTGTCAGTGAATAAGAAAATCACAGAAGGGAGGCCAGGTGTGGTGGCCCAAGCCTATAATACCAGCATTTTGGGAGGCCGAGGTGAAAGGATTGCCTGAGCCCATGGGTTCAAGACCAGCCTGGGCAACACGGTGAAACCTCGTCTCTACAATAAATCAAAAAGCTAGCCAGGCATGGTAGCGCACGCCTGTAGTTCCAACTACTTGGAAGGCTGAGGCGGAAGGATCTCCGGAGCCCAGCAGGTCAATACTGGGGTGTCCGTGAGCATGCCACTGCACTCCAGCCTGAGCGACGGAGTGAGACTCCTATTCAAAAGAAAAAAAGAAAAAAGAAAATCACAGAAGGGGAGAAACGGCTAATTATTATCATGTCTGTACACTTCCCCTACCTCCCTTCCAGATGAAGTACCCTAAAACCTGTCCACTCTTCCCTCACCCCAAACAACCCTTACCCACCAAAACAAATCAAATGATGAGAGAAAAAAATGATAGCTCTATAGAGCTGAATGAAAGTATAGATATTTGGTTCAATGTTTCTCAAATGTGGTGATCTCTAGTCCATCACCTCAGCACTCCCATGGATTCCAAGGCCTGGAAGCATATAAAAGATAAGCATTTTGCCCCAAGGAGTGAAAACTAATGCACTGGTAGAACCTCCTCATTAATTGTTCATTTTTCAAACATTTATCGAGCCCCTATTACTATTATGTTTCTGTCAGCATGTGAGGCAATGGTATATAAAGAAGGATGAAATATCTAAAGTTGGGGAGACAAATGTAAATAAAGATGTAAAAATACCTTTCACTAAACGCTAAAAAACAGAGAGAAATACA